GGCCCTGCATGGTATAGCTCATGGCTTCACTGAGTTACGCAAGCCCCTTCGCCACGACCAGCCCATGATGCAGCATAGGCAACTTTTAATGATACTGATTGCTTCTTTGAATTAGGTGGCAGTAGAGCTAGGTATCATAGGGATATGGATAATAACCCATTCCACAGCTTGGAATGATCTTCCTGGAGTTTCATGTAGATGTTGAATGAAATGTGGGAGTAAATAGAGCCTTCTGAAGTACCATAGATAAACAAGCTAGGTGTTGAACAATAGTTCCAGGACTACCTTCTGGACACAACCCAAAAGCAAGACTACAGCCATTATAAAACTGTCTGCAAGGCACAGTCTTCCCAGGTGGTCCAGAAGCATATTATGATTGGTGGTACTGAAAGCTCCCAAGGGGTGAAGGAGAACTAGCAGGGCCATATTCCCCATGTTAATTATCCAATGTTGGTCATCTATCAAAGCTACCAAAGCATTCTCAGTCAGAAGCCCAATTTAAGTGCATCTAATTAATTGGTATCAGTCCTACACTTCTGGAGTTGGGAGACCATCAACTTTTTAGACACTGTACCAAGAAATAGAATAATTGAGATCAGTCTGTATATAATTACAGGTAGTCCTCGTTTAGCGACCATTCGCAATTACAACAGTGATGAAAAAGTAACTTTGCAACCAATCCTCACATTCAAATTGTGTAAATGAAATAAACACATTTACAACCTTCACAGGCCTGTAAAACAAAGGGAAGCTGGAGTAAGATCATAAGCACAGTTGCAGCTTCACTTAGCAATCACTTCCCTTAACAACCAAGTTGCCAGTCCCAATTGTGGTCACTAAATGAGGACCACCTGTATACAGCACTCCCGAGTCAAGGAAGGATTTGTTCATCAGAATTCTTATAATTGCTGCCTTTTAGATAAAGAAGATAATCTCGCCAACCAGAAGCTGAGGTAGCTGCAGTTGATTCTGTCTGCAAAGAATTATGCAAATAGTTTAATTCCCCCTTTTTCAACATCTTGGTGGAGGAGATGCTGTACAATACAGAAGAGTAATATCAGCTTATTCTATGTAGACATAATGGAAACACAATAAGCCCTCTTTGCTCTCTCGTTTATTGCACAATAGAAGTTTAAATATGCCTTAATTCAAGATCAATCTAATTTATCCTGAGAATTCTTCCACTTGCACTTCAGCTGCCATCTCATCCACTTCATTACTCATTGTTCCCTAATAAACTAAAAGGATGATTTGGTTCTCTGAAGAGGCGAAGGGTGTTCGGAGTGATAGTGCTATCTGCCAGGGAATCTTCATATTTCACAAGGTTGGCAGGGGTTCAATACTGTTGCCAACTAGCAAGATGATGAACTCCCCAAGTATATTCAGAAAACTGTTTGGACCCATCAAGCCCCTCAAGTCAGGCCTTTTTGACAGGTTCAGTCAGTGGAGAACCAGAAAGAGGGAAAGGCATATTATTTCAGTATCTATAGAGATCAGCTGCAATATTAGTAGTAATTACATTCTCTACCTAAATCACTGTGATAGTGGACAGAACAACCAATATTATTTTCCACATGAAAGAAGAATTCAGGATTTGTATAAATAGAACCAAAACATAATATAAGAGTACATTGGAACACATGAGGAATAATTCATCATAGCTTCTTCTGAACTTTTGTTCAGATAGTCTTGATTGACTGACTGGATTTCTATACTTCTGAAGTGTATGATGTGGTGGTTTACAAAAACAAAATAGAGTACAGAGTAATCAAATAAAGTTGGTCATCCGTAAAACCAAAGTATTCAGTAAAAGACAGCAATGCCTAAATATACCAACTGTTGGTGTCATCAACACAGGTACAGTGGGGCAAAAAAGTATTTAGTCAGCCACCAATTGTGCAAGTTCTCCCACTTAAAAAGATGAGAGAGGCCTGTAATTTTCATCATAGGTATACCTCAACTATGAGAGACAAAATGGGGGAAAAAATCCAGAAAATCACATTGTCTGATTTTTAAAGAATTTATTTGCAAATCCAAGTTCTCCCACTTAAAAAGATGAGAGAGGCCTGTAATTTTCATCATAGGTATACCTCAACTATGAGAGACAAAATGGGGGAAAAAATCCAGAAAATCACATTGTCTGATTTTTAAAGAATTTATTTGCAAATCCAAGTTCTCCCACTTAAAAAGATGAGAGAGGCCTGTAATTTTCATCATAGGTATACCTCAACTATGAGAGACAAAATGGGGGAAAAAATCCAGAAAATCACATTGTCTGATTTTTAAAGAATTTATTTGCAAATCCAAGTTCTCCCACTTAAAAAGATGAGAGAGGCCTGTAATTTTCATCATAGGTATACCTCAACTATGAGAGACAAAATGGGGGAAAAAATCCAGAAAATCACATTGTCTGATTTTTAAAGAATTTATTTGCAAATCCAAGTTCTCCCACTTAAAAAGATGAGAGAGGCCTGTAATTTTCATCATAGGTATACCTCAACTATGAGAGACAAAATGGGGGAAAAAATCCAGAAAATCACATTGTCTGATTTTTAAAGAATTTATTTGCAAATCTGGGGGTGGAAACATCATGCTTTGGGGCTGTTTTTCTGCAAAGGGACCAGGACAACTGATCCGTGTAAAGGAAAGAATGAATGGGGCCATGTATCGTGAGATTTTGAGTGAACACCTCCTTCCATCAGCAAGGGCATTGAAGATGAAACGTGGCTGGGTCTTTCAGCATGACAATGATTTGCAAATAAATTCTTTAAAAATCAGACAATGTGATTTTCTGGATTTTTTCCCCCATTTTGTCTCTCATAGTTGAGGTATACCTATGATGAAAATTACAGGCCTCTCTCATCTTTTTAAGTGGGAGAACTTGCACAATTGGTGGCTGACTAAATACGTTTTTGCCCCACTGTAGCTATAGCGGACAGCTGCATTTTACACCAATAGTAGTTTCTTAATAGTCCTCAAATCTAGCCCTGCAACAGAGCACACTGCAGTAGTACTTTCAGGTGGTGATGAAGGTCTTGGTTATCACCATGCTGTCTCATCCCTCTTGAACGCAGCCTGCACCCACCCAGACATTAGCAGCAGCTGTAAGTACAGGAGGGCACCTAAGTCCTGGTTGTGCTCTTTTCATGAGGAGTGCCACCCCATCCAGAGTTATGAACCAGAGAGATTTTGGACAATCAGCAACTCCATCTTATTTTGATTTAATTTGATCTTATTTTATCCTTTTTAGGCTTCAGTAGCCTACAGGTATCAGGTCAAGGCTTCTGTAGCATCCCTGGCAGTACCCAGCTGAGTATCATAATTGTATGGATGTTATTGCACCTGGAACTGACTGATGACTTCTCTCAGTGGTCTCCTATGGATAGTAAAAAAAATAGGGGAAAGAAAATCAAGACCTCTGGGCCTCCACATGGAAGTGCCATGCTAATCACCATTGGAACTGTCCACTCAGGAAAGAGCAGAGACACTTTAAACAATGCTTCCAGTCCACAGCCCTTGCAGTCAATACAAAAATATACCATGATTAGTGGCAGCAAAAGCCATTGAAACTTCAAACCAAATTTCAACAAAACAGAATGACCAACGTCTCAGTCTGATGCCTGGGCCTGAATCCTGACTGCTTGGGCCCCAAATAATCTTCTACTTCTAGGACATTTTGTAGCTGCAGATATACCACTTTCTTACTGACCATCCCTTAAAAAACAGTATGTTGGAGGGAAGACCCCAAAGAGCTGGGTCCAGAAAGGCCTTTGGGGACCTATTTGTTTCTGTTGGTAGATCAGCCAGCAAGATGAAAAATTGCAGACTGTAGATAGAATAGGCCCATTAGAGTTGTAGGTTAAGTTGGCAAAGAAGATGTTCACTGCATTTAGATAACAAGTAGTGCTACAATGTAAAGCCATGGAAAAAAATTCCAGAAAACTTTAGGAAAGTGTTTTCTTTTCTGTTTAAGTGATACATACAATAGTTAAGAAAAGGTTCATATATATAGATTATTACTATTGGTACTCTTAATATTTTTGCTGAGTAAGATTGATTGATGAATCTTTCTGTAATTTGGTTATTGTTTAGTGATAAGAAATGGGAAGAGGTCCCCCCCCCCACTATTAGAGAAGGTGTAAGTTACTTGTTTGGAGGGAGGGGGAGTCACTTTTTATATGTCTTCTTTTTTGTTTGTACATCTTTTCTAATTCTGTATTAGCTTTTAACTATGTAAAACTCTAATAAAGATATTATTAAAAAAAGAGAAAAGGTTCATGTATCACTGCTCACTCTTGACTTATTACAATTAATCAGTTAATTCCAGTACCTGGAGGGCAACTGTATAGTAAAACTCTTGATTCAAGGACAAGAATACATTCCTTTCTTCAGGATACACTAACATTTGTTTTTATAAAGAAAACAGAAAGACCTACAGTCATGTGAAAAAGAAAGTACACCCTCTTTGAGTTCTGTGGTTTTACATATCAGGACATAATAAA